ATTGGCCCCAACTCCCCAATCGGCCCTGCTCTGAGCCCAACCAGGGGCTGCACCTAGGGATTGGGCCTGCCCTCTGCCACCCGGGAGCAGGCCTAAGCTAGCAGGTCATTATCTCCCGAGGGGCCCCAGACTGCGAGAGGGCACAGGCCAGGCTGAGGGACCCCCCTCCCCACCGAGTTCACAAATTTTTGTGCACCGGGCCTCTAGTATATATATAAAAAGCCAGCCCTAGCTGGTTTGGCTCAGTGGATAGAGCGTCAGTCTGCAGAATGAAGGATCCCAGGTTCGATTCTGGCTAAGGGCGTATGCCCAGGTTTCAGGCTCAATTAGCAATGGAGGGTGTGCGGGAGGCAACCCATCAATGATTCTCTCTCATCACTGATGTTTCTCTCTCTCTCTCCTCCCTTCCTCTCTGACATCAATAAAAAGATATTTAAAAAATAAATAAAATAAAATAAAAAGCCAGACACTGGAACGCCAGAACAGCCGGAACGACCAGTCACTATGATGCCCACTGCGGTGGGCCAACCAGCCTGATCGGGGGTGGGGCCAGCCGACCAACCTCCTGCGGAACCCCCTCTGACCTGCCCAGCCCCCCGCCTTCAATCAGGGGTGGGGCTGACCAGTCAACTTCCCATGGCTGCTACCCCCCACCGGCCTGGCCCTGATCGGCCCCGTGCACAAATTTGTGCACCGGGCCTCTGATTAAAAAGTGACTGTTTTCCTTCAAGAATGTAAATCAAAGCAAAAGCAGTTCCACTGTTAATGCCACAAGAGCACTTAGATAAAATAATGGCATAGTGCCCTAGCACTGTGGTTTAATGGATAGAACACAGGCCTGTGGACCAAAAGGTTCTGGGTTCGATTCGGGTCAAGGGCACCTACCTCAGTTGCAGGCTCCTCCCAGGCCCAGGCCCTGATTGGGGCTTGAGCAGGAAGCAACCAATCGATGTGTTTCTCTCACATCGATATTTCTTTTTGCCTTTCCCTCTCTCTTCCACTCTCTCTAAAAATCAATGGGAAAATATCCTCAGATGAAAATTTTAAAAAATGACATAGTAATAGCTAACATTAATTGAGCACATACTATGTTTTAAGCACTTTACACTTAAGTAACATTGTCCAAGGTTACACAGCTAGTAGTTAGTAGAGTTGGGATTTAAACCTGGACAGTTCTGCCAGAGTCCATACTCTCAACCAATATATCCCATCACAAAATTTTTACACCATAGAATGATTTTCTTCTTTTTGGGACATGAACTGATACTAGAGATGTAACATTCCACTTAAGTATAAAAGAAGACTGGATTAAGCCATAGTACATATACTGGTAGTGATAATGGATTCTTGTAATCACTAATAGTCCGTTCATTGCATTTTGACGATCGTTAGTTATCCAAGAGAAAACCGCCCCCAACTATCCTCTTAAGTATATGATTGCAAGTGGAAAAGAGGGGACAGAAATCAGTTTTGGCAGTTTTTCCAATTTCATTTGTGAATTTTTAAAATATAAATGCAGGGATACAAAGCATTCATGCAAATCAAAATGTTTCAGTAAACAAGTTTCAGCAGTTCAACTTTATAACAATTATAAATAAACCTGTTCAAATTTTCTGAACAATGTCAGCATTTGGATTTTTTAAGAAACAAGTAAATTTCTTACTGATGGAACTCAATGGTGTTTGTAGCACTTTTGTCACACAGTAGATTCCATCCATTCGCTATACTTTCTGAGTTGTCTCATATGCAAGTACATTTTATTTTTAAAATACATTTTATTGATTTTTTACAGAGAGGAAGGGAGAGGGATAGAGAGTTAGAAACATCGATGAGAGAGAAACATCAATCAGCTGCCTCCTGCACACCCCCCACTGGGGATGTGCCCGCAACCAAGGTACATGCCCTTGACCAGAATCGAACCTGGGACCCTTGAGTCCGCAGGCCGATGCTCTATCCACTGAGCCAAACCGGTTAGGGCTGCAAGTACATATTTTTAATGTCTGTCTTCTATGCTGTTCCTATAAGTCTGCTATTAAAATATATTAAATTATAAAACCCAAAACAAAAACAAAAACCCAACCACCTAGACTTCAAACAACCTGGACATAAAGTTAGGTATCAGTTGAAATTTCTGAAAGTCTATTCCAGTGGTCAGCAAACTCATTAGTCAACAGAGCCAAATATCAATAATACTTCTTCGAAATAGACTCGCCCAGGCCGAAAACTGACTTCTGCGCATGGGCCACGAAGTTTCAATCGCACTGTACGTGCGCGCCCGCACGTGGTATTTTGTGGAAGAGCCACACTCAAGGGGCCAAAGAGCCGCATGTGGCTCTTGAGCTGCAGTTTGCCGACCACAGGTCTATTAGATTAGATATAATCACTGCTTTATTTTATTTTTAATCCTCACTCAAGGATATGATTTTATTGATTTTTTGAGAGAGAGAAAGGGAGAAAAAGAAAGGGGGTGGGGGTGGAGGGGGGAGAAACATTGATGTGAGAAAGAAACATCATATGCCTCCCATATGCCCTGACCAGGAATCGAATCCAGAATCTTTTTGGTGTATGGGATGACACTCCAACTAACTGAGCCACACGGCCAGGGCATCACAGCTTTATTTTAAATCACAGCAAAGATATCTGTGACTATTCACAGGTCTATCTGGAAAATAAAAGTTTCCAAAGATCATTATTAGCAATAAATATTTAAAAAATGGTAAGAAAGTGATAAGAAATCCAAAAGGAGACTAGTGATTGAATGAGTCCTTTTATTTGTACAGTGGGGCCTTGACTTACGAGTTTAATTCGTTCCAAGATTGAGCTCGTTAAGGAGCTTGTTAACTCAAATTACTCTATCAACTCAATGCAAAAAATCGGCCAAGAGACAGCTGGTATCTCAAAAAACTCGTTAGTCGGGACACTCGTAAGTCAGGACACTCGTAAGTCAAGGCCCCACTGTATAGCTCATTACATTTGGATAAGTCTATGATGAGATCCTGAAGTTTATATTTTTAACATAGGTGATTCCGATACAGGTCATTTGTGGCCCACAAACCCATAAGAATGCTTGACCCATAGAGAAAAGCTGTGGTAGTCCATTAACTTAAAAGATCTAAGGCAGTGGTTCTCAACCTTGGCTGCACATTAGAATCACCTGGGAATCTTTTTAAAATCCTGATTTCTGGGTCTCATCCTCCGGAAATTCTGTTTCTTTGTTACTAATGTAGTGGCCCCACCCCATAATAAAGAAACAGAATTTCCGGAGGATGAGGCCCAAAAATCAGGATTTTAAAAAAGATTCCCAGGTGATTCTAATGTGCAGCCAAGGTTGAGAACCACTGATCTAAGGAATTACTGCTCTGGAGGTCCATTAGGAAAAGAAGTCAAGTGATGGGCTGATAAGTACTCAAGTAGGTCTTTCTGATGCCTCTTGAGAGAGCCCTACTTTGAAAAGAGTAATAACAGAAAAGCATTTTACTCAACAGGTTTACTGAGTACCTACATCAGGGGTCCTCAAACTTTTTAAACAGGGGGACAGTTCACTGTCCCTCAGACCGTTGGAGGGCCGGACTATAGTTTAAAAAAAAAACCTATGAACAAATTCCTATGCACACTGCACATATCTTATTTTGAAGTAAAAAAACAAAACGGGAACAAATACAGTATTTGTATTTGCATGTGGCTCACGGGCCGTAGTTTGAGGACCCCTGACCTACATACTCCAGAGAATATGCTAGGTACTAGGAAATACATAGTGACAGGCAGATAAGTGGAATCTAATGTAGAATCACCGAGGGAGTAAAAAATACAGGGAATGAGAGAACTTTCCTCTACTGGGGCTATCTTTGACTTTTACAGTGGTCGGCAAACTCATTAGTCAACAGAGCCAAATATCAACAGTACTTCTTCAAAATAGACTCGCCCAGGCTGAAAACCGACTTCTGCGCATGGGCCACGAAGTTTCAATCGCACTGTACATGCGGGCCTGCACGTGGTATTTGTGGAAGAGCCACACTCAAGGGGCCAAAGAGTCACATGTGGCTCGCGAGCGGCAGTTTGCCGACCACTGACCTAGTAGGATAAACAGAAATTTATCCAGCTGTCTAAAAAGGGCCCTCAAGTGGCCAAGAGATAGTACTGCAATATTTAATTTCCAAAGCAAGAGATTTCAGTGCAGCTTCAGCGTAGATGAAATTTAGTGGTAGAAGAAAAACATCAAACAACTTTTGTTTCATGTCCTGTTGGAAACCTTTCTAAAAGATTTTAATCTACTTTACTGCCTTATCGTGCATAGGAGAGTGACCATCTCTGAATTCAGTACTGTCTCACTGAACAGCAATGGTCTGCAGAAAATGGACTTGAACCTTTACTGACCATAGGAGGTGTTCTTCTTTAACTAGATTGTTCTAATTTGCTTTCTTTTTACTAATTTTGAATACAATAAAACATAAATCAGATTAAAGACTTAAGTTAACCAGTCACTGGTGAAGAAAAATTTTAATGTATCTACTCAGTTTACAAAGTTTCAAACCTTGGCCTAGTTAACAAATGTAGCATTGGCAAAAATTTCCTGGAAATTTCTCTACTGCTTTTAGGGGGGGAAAAAAGAAAATCACATATGAATGAAGCTTCATTCTTGGCTCATAGATATAAAATTTCACTTTCCAGGGGAGGTTGCCCTGGAAGGCAGGATCTTCAGGAGAGAAAGTGGTGGGGAGTGGGAGAGGGATGCACAGAGATAAAAATGGCAGGTAGGAAAGAAATATCGGGTTCAAATGTTTTACCTCAAATGAGTGCTAAACAAAGCAACTTAGTAACTCCGAGAAAATTCTCAGTTGCTGAATTATAGTTTCTAATCAAGAAACTACTTCAATCCAATACATACTTCAATGCTCCTAAACCTTCTCAAATCTCAGAGATTTAGGACTCAGTCCTAAGTGTAAAATCTCTGCCTCAAAGACACAAAGGCCACATGCTTAATACTTACCCACACACATTTTGACATCATTCACAGTGAAGTCTGGATCTGGCATCCTATGAAACAAACACCAATAAGCATAACTTAAGTGGGAAGCATAACTTCTTTAGTCGGTGTTTTTCTTTTCTTTCTTTTTAACACTCTAACTTTAAGAAAAAAAATATGTTTTTATTGATTTCAAAGAGGAAGAAAGAGGGAGAGAGATAGAAACATCAATGATGAGAGAGATTCATTGACTGGCTGCCTCCTGCACACCCGCTACTGGGGATGGAGCCTGCAACCCAGGCATGTGCCCTTGACCAGGAATCATACCTTGATTTCCTGGTTCATAGATCAATGCTCAAGCAATGAGCCATGCCAGTTGAGCTATCTTTTTTTTTGTTTTAAGATTATTTTATGTGGAGGAGGGCTACGCATGCCCAAGGCCGATGTGATTTTATATTTTTAAATCAGTTTTGTTTTTGTTTTTAGAGAGGGAGAAACGGAGAGGGGGAGAGAGAGAAACACTGATATGAGAGTGAAACATCCATTGGCTGCCTCTTGCACACACCGTATCAGGGATCGAGCCCACAACCGGGGCACATGCCCTGACGGAAATTGAACCAATAACCTTTTGGTGCATAACATGATGCCCAACCAACTTAGCCACACTGGCTAGAACAGTGTGAAGTTTTTCTTAAAGTACTAAGAACTCTCCAGTTGAGACACATCAATTTTCTTATTTGAGCTGAAAATATATTTTAAATATAAATGACTTGATTGTCTTATCTCAACTTTATTTTCTCATTTACCTTTAACAATCATTTGTAAAAAAAGAAATATACACCCTTTTAAAACTAAATGAGAAATATTATCAATACTGCACTGTCTATAGCTCTATGTGTAATATGGCCATTTCTCAACCATATCCAATCAGGCCAACAACACTTACTTTATTCCAAGTCCATCAGAATTCTTGAAAATCAGAGGGTCTCTTAAGCCACCCCGCTGGATATATTCCACATTAAAATCTGTCACCAAAGGAAAATAATTGTTAGGATGGCAAGAGGTATAGCTGGAAAAAGATAACTGAGAAGCAGGATTCAGGGATTTGCTAAGTCTGTATTTCCAGGGTAAATTAAAAATTTAATCAATAGGGGGTAGCTCTATTAACGAGTCATCTCATAAATCCTAGGCAGAAATTATCATCATCCTTCCTCTTTTTTAAAAAATAGACATTTTAATTGATTTCAGAGAGGAAAGGCAGTGGGAGAGAGAGAGAGAAACATCAATGTTGAGAAAGAATCATTGTTGGCTGCCTCCTACATGCCCCACAATAGGGATCAAGCCCACAATCCAGGCATGTGGCCTGACCAGAAATCGAACTGTGACCTCCTGGTTCATAGGTTGACACTCAACCATTGAGCCACGCCAGCCGGACATCATCCTTTCTAATAGACAAAAAATGTAATCCTGTCCACTACATTCCTGTTGGTTTGCCAAGAAGCAAAGCTGCATGGTACACACGGAATCACACATCTCAGTTTTGGTGGGAAGAATATGCATAAAAGGGCTTTTATGGTACTACTAGAGGCCCGGCGCACGAAATTTGTGCATGGGTAGGGCCCCTAGGCCTGGCCAGCGATCAGGGCCAATCTATAGGGCAACTGGTGGGGTGATTGGGGAGCCCCCCGCTGGCACACGCCTTGGCTGGCCTGGCGCCACTCACTCGCTGGCCCAGCCCCCCGCTGCCACCAGTCAGGGCCTGCAGGCTAGGGGAAGCTCCTATGTTGAGCGTCTTCCCCCGGTGGTCAGTGTGTGCCATGGCGACTGGTCGTTCTGCCATTTAGTTGATTTGCATATTAAGCTTTTATTATAGTATAGGACTTATAATTAAACCCAAACCAAGGAAAGGGAGAAAAAGAAGGAAGAGACTTTTAGAGAAAAATTCTAACAACATTCCTGCCCTAGTAAATGCTTGCTTCTTCTAATATAGCAAAGAAATGACTCACAGGGTGGGAGGATTTGGGATGGTAGTGTGTGAGTGGTACTGTGTAAAAAAAGAAAATAAAGATAAATAGCTCCATAGCATCAACAGGTATATTCTGGCTGCATAGATGCTTACTACAGTTCCCAGAATTTAAACTTCCTACATCAAGAGACTACAGGTCTGAATCAAAATAATACTAACCTTTTCCCTCCATAAAAGTAACAAAATTTGCATTATATTTGTTGGTGTGAAGTTTCTCTTCCAAGTCAAAAGTTCTTTTCCCTTCAATTTCATCATCTGAAATGCCATCATCTTCATAACGTCGTCGCATGGTACCACGCTGGGGAGAGAGGGACATTAGGATGAAATCATGTACTTTTTCATGCCTATCTAAAAGTGGTCAGTTTTCGCTACACATATGGACAAAGTGCTACTTTTAACTTCAGTTGCTATGTCAAACATCAGTATTCCTTGCCTTAAGATCTTTCTCTTAATGAAAGGTGAGTGTTTTCTGAGAATGTATGGAATAAAACAAAGTTTTAATGAGCCACTGGGTCCCCTATTTGTGTTATGTTCCCTCTGCTAACTCTTTCAGCCTAGAGATATAAAATTACAATAAAAATTTGACCAAAAAGGTCTACTAAACATTTTACTTGTCAATCATTGCTTATCAGAGGGGGAACAAATTGTCTTTATGAACATTTCAGGCCAGGATACAAGATATAATTTTTTCAGAGGGGAAAGCTGTATCTACAATACCTTCAATAATAGAGTACAACGTTTTAATTAATGAAGCAAAAACTCTAACATCAGATGAAGGAATAAAGTTAATCTAAACAACAGCATTCTAAACAGTAACCTCCAATATTTACTTTAAGGATGTCTTCCCAAAGAAGATATACAAATGCCAATGAGCACATGAAAATGCTCAATATCATTAGTCATTAGGAGAAGTGCAAATTAAAATCACAATGAGATACCACTTCACACCCACTAGGATGACTATTATAAAAAAGATGGACAATAACAAGTGTTGGCAAGAATGTGGAGAAACTGAAACCCTCATACATTGATGAATTCAATCTAAAATGGTACAACCACTTTAGAAAATAGTTCGGCACTTCTAGCAATTCTACTCTGAGGTGTGTGTGTTTGTGTGTGTGTGTGTGTACCTGTCATTCTGCCGTTTGGTTGATTTGCATATTAGCCTTTTATTATATAGGATATAAAAAAATTTAAATGAAGTCCATACAAAAATTTGTACACAAATGTTCATGGCAACATTCATAATAGCCAAAAGGTAGCAAGCCAAATTTCAACAGATGATGAATGGGCTAACAAAATGTGATGTCCTATATAATAAAAGGCTAATATGCAAATTGTCCCCTTGGGAGTTTGACTGATCAGGAGTTGGATTGCTCGCTATGACGTGCGCTGACCACAAGGGGGAGGTGCGGAACGAAGGAAGGCCCCAGCAGGCAGCCAGCAGCCAAGGGAAGGAAGGCTCTGATTGGCCCTGATTGCCGGCCAGACTTAGGGACCCTTTCCATGCACGAATTTCGTGCACCGGGCCTCAGGTGTTTACATAATGGAATATTTGGCCATAGAAATAAATGAAGTATTGATAAGTGCTACAACACAACATAGAAGAGTCTTGAAAACACTATATTAAATGAAAGAAGCCAAACATAAAAGACCACATATTATATAATATTATTTACATAAAATGTCCAGAATAGGCAAATCCATAGAGATAGAAAGTAGATTAGTGGTTGCCAGGGGGTGGGAAGACAGAGAGAAAGGAAGTGACCAGTGAGATTTTTCTTCTTGATGATATATTATAGAGTTGTAATTTTATTAGCCAATATTAAATAAAATAAATAGAAAAAAAAGATTTCTTCTTGACAGTTGATTTAAATCAGAGGGAATAATGGTGGGCTTCCTTTCAATGCTCTGCAGTTTTACATTTGTTATTTTGCTATTGAGAAAGGCATCTTCCTTTGGTATAGCAGCCTATATAGTTAAGTATTACACACCAATATTTAATATTGTATGTGGTTTTCACAGAAAAACAACAACCTGTAATTACGTAATACACAACTGCTGAATTTGTTTTTTAAGTGAACCATTCTAAGAATTTCTAAAACCTTTTGCTTAACTTTACCTGTAAAAATATTACCTAATTACTGTCTTAATGGACAGTTTTATTTTCTTTTTTTAAAATATATTTTATTGATTTTTTACAGAGAGAAAGGGAGAGAGATAGAGAGTTAGAAACATCGATGAGAGAGAAACATCGACCAGCTGCCTCCTGCACATCTCCCACTGGGGATGTGCCTGCAACCCAGGTACACGCCCCCGACCGGAATCGAACCTGGGACCTTTCAGTCCACAGGCCGACGCTCTATCCACTGAGCCAAACCGGTTTCGGCCAGTTTTATTTTCTTTATAATTATTTAAGTACTAGAGGCCCAGTGCACAAAATTTGTGTGTGTGTTGGGGGCAGCACACGGGGCCCTCAACCTCACCTGCACCCTAATGCAATCCAGGACTCCTTGGGGGATGTCCGACTGCCGGATCCCTGTGGGATTGGGCCTAAACTGGCAATCGAACATCCCTCTCGCAATCCGGGACTGCTGGCTCCTAACCGCTCGCCTGCCTGATCGCCCCTAACCACTCTGCCTGCCTGCCTCATCACCCCGAACCCCTCTGCCTGCCTGCCTCATCATCCCTAACCACTGGCCTGCCTGCCTGATCACCCCTAACCACACCTCTGCCTTGGCCCCTGCCACAGCAGCTTTGTCCAGACGGACATATGGAATGATATCTGGAAGGTCATTTGGCTGTCCAGTGTAATTAGTATATTACGCTTTTATTATTATAGATCATGTGATAATCCATATGGTTTCTATAATAATCATTCAGCATTTATTGGAACAATTACATTTCACTTGAAAGACAGTTTTCTAAGGGAAACTTAGATTAATTAGGTTTCCCCCATTTTCTTTCTTTTTACAACTCTTTTTTAAAAAAAATTTTATTTAAATTGATTTGAGAGAGAGAGAAAGAGAGAGAAAAACATCAATGTGAAAGAGAAACATTGATCAGTTGCCTCCCATATGCTCTCCAATTGGGGAGCAAACCCGCAACAGGAATCGAACCAGTGACCTTTGATGTATGTGACAACATTCCAACCAACTGAGCCACACCAGCCAGGACTTCCACGCTTTGAATTGCTTTACCTTCCCTGAACTACCTGAAATTTTATGGTAAAACCACATTTTGGATCAGAATTTGCTAGATGGTTTTCTTATTTATAGGATATCACTCTATAAATTAAAAACAAAAAGAAGTGACCACTGCCCTAGCTGGTTTTCTTCAGTGGATAGAGCGTCAGCCTGTGGACTGAAAGGTCCCAGGTTTGATTCTGGTCAAGGGCACATACCCGGGTTACGGGGTCCATTCCTAGTAGGGGGCGTGCAGGAGGCAGCCGATCAAATGATTCTCTCTCTTCACTGATGTTTCAATCTCTCTCTCCCTCTCCCTTCCTCTCTAAAATCAACAACAACAAAAATACTTAAAAATCAAAGAAGTGACCATTAATGGTATGGATTTCTTTCAAGAGTTATGAAAATGTTCTGAAATTAGGTAGTGGTAATATTTACACAACTCTGTAAATATACTTAGAACCAGTAAATTATATATTTTAAATGGGTGAATTTTATGGTATGTGAATTGTATCTCATAAGCTGTTATTTTTCTTGCTTATGCTGCAAACTTATCTTTTAGTATATTTTACTTTAGCCAATGATGACATTTGCTATTCTTGAATACATACACAAGGGACAACTGGTGTGGGAGTGGCAGGTGCCATACAGGATAAAGTAGTCATACCCTACAATGTGCTAAAAACAACTAAAATTGGAACTTAAAGTTAGATATTGATAATCTAAAATTGATTACATAGCATCTGATTTTGCATAAATATCTAAGACAATGAGACATTGGAGGAAGATCTCTTGAATGAACAGAAATGAATCATAAGAAATAAAAATTAAAGAAAACAAAATACACTGTTAAACACCTAAGAAGAGCAAGATTCAACTTAGAAACTTAGACAGAAACACTGAGGAATATCTGCTATCTTTTCCATAAGCCACAGCTCAAAAGCCTCCACCGCCCCCCGCAAAAAAAAAGGAGATTAATTTTAATAGAACTTTCACTTACTCCAATAATGCCATCTCTGCTCAAAATATTTTTAGGTATATTTATTTGGGCGTAGAGGAGTGTATTTTCACTGACAATTTCTTACATGGGGTTTTTTTTTTTTTTTGGAAAGAACAACACTCAGTTTTCTTCTTCACCTTATTCCATATGTGTCTTTTTTTTTTTTAAATATATATTTTATTGATTTTTTACAGAGAGGAAGGGAAAGATATAGAGAGTTAGAAACATTGATGAGAGAGAAACATCGATCAGCTGCCTCCTGCACACCCCCTACTGGGGATGTGCCCGCAACCAAGGTACATGCCCTTGACCGGAATCGAACCTGGGACCTTTCAGTCCGCAGGCTGATGCTCTATCCACTGAGCCAAACCGGTTACGGCCATATGTGTCTTTGAAGGGAACTCCAAAAGACGATTTCCAAGCATGTCATACAATAAAGGCATTACCATCAGAATAAATGTAGTTTCCCAAAATAATCAGTTTTAAAAAGCATTCATTTGCACTACAAGTTTTTTTTTATTTTATTTTATTTTTCTTCTTCAGTGACAACATATTCACCCTAATTACCACAACATTTCTAATATGGTAGCCAGAAGTTCCCCTATTCTTCCTCCCTTTTTACATTATTTTCTTGATTTTTAAAAAATGTATATATATTTTTATTGCTTTCAGAGAGGAGAGGGATAGAAACATCAATGATGAGAGAATCATTGATCAGCTGCCACCTTCTGCATGCCCCCTACTGGGGATCGAGCCCGCAATGGGAAATGTGTCCTGACCTGGAATCGAACTGTGACCTCCTCGTTCATAGGTCAACACTCAACCATTGAGCCACTCCGGCCTGATGGTTTTATCTTATATCAAGAGGAGTCCTCCCATTTGTACTCTCAGTTTGTAGAGTGTAACAATATAGGGAAGGCTCTTTTTCCAGCCAAGCTATGCCCATTTCTTAACGATGACAGAAAAATTAATTTGAATTCTTATTTTCTTTTTGATTGTTGCAACTGGGAAGTCAACACTGATGTGAAAATTATTTGTGTCAGTTTTAACGCTGTCAAGGATAAGGGTCCCCTCACCCCTCTGTCTTAATGTAAACCTTGGGAAAAGTAAGTA